TCTATATGTATAATATAAAATACATGCTTTTTTGACAAGACATTGTTCACGTCCTTTATTTAGTGTGTCCCCTAACTAGAAGAGTTAATTATATAGAAAAAGGATCTTTCATGACGGTATGTCCTCTAAGGGTGACTGAATAATAAAACTATCCAAGAAGAAAATAAGATTTTTTTATATTCTGACCAAAGTAGTGGTAAATGTATACCACAAATAAGGTCAAACGCACCTGCTTGAAATAATTCTAAAACTATAATTTAATTTAAAAAAACATTCTAATAAATAGCTGGCGTGCGATCTGCCAGCCAAATTTTTTGGTCCTCCGGGCCGGACTTGAAAATTGGGCCAACAATTATATATTATATACATCCTTACTATATTAAAATCGTAACTGCTCTTATTAGTTTACTCCTGTTTAAAATGTTGCAAAACGTTTTATAATTACATCTCTAGGGTAAATTAAAACAGTATTGACCGATGTGACGCTTCGTTAGGGACTTTTTGTTGCTGTTTTTTTACCTTGTCAGCAGGAAGAAACAGTATAAGAAATCGCACACGTTTTGAGTATTCTCGTAATCACGCGATAGGAACTAGTCCACTAACCGTGACTGGAATAATCCAGATCGAATCTCAGCAGGCGGTAGCCCCCGACGGAATACGTTCTGAAAGCTTATGTTACAGGAAGAATGAATATAATCTGATTGATTGGACTGTAGTTGGCATAGTTTATTCTACCAAAAAAACCTGGAATATTTAACTGATTTAGACGTGGCAGTGTCAAACTTGAATCAATTATTGTTAGTATGGATTGTAATGTGCAGATTCGTCATGGTGTTCAGTCTGTCACATAACCAAACATGGGAAAGTGTGGATAACGTAGCTATTTAACCAGTTGATATTTTCTATGTTATAACGAAAAACTATACTATGTTTTCTTTGTTTTCAAAAAACGCTTAATATCCCATATGCGAAGTAAGAGGGTTAAGCTATTCAGCAACCTGCCCAAATCTCCAGATGAACCATGAAAGAAGAGTTAGATTACCAATAACAACAAGGTGGCAATAACGTTTTAAAAGGATCGAGGATCATCTCTGCGAACAAGCTCCGGGTAACATCCAAGCGAAATAGAATTTCCAGCACTACTTTAAACGACCACTACTACTCTCAAGAGCTAAAGAAGTATCTCCCATAAACTATAATTCAGCAGGACTAAAGTTATAGTAAAACATTGAAAAATCTTAGTGGTTTTCGTAACCTGTCGTCCCGTCCTGTGATGTTGAGCAATAAATTCGGAACTTGATGTTTTGACACTTGATCACCGAACAACCAGCAGGAAACTTGGTTTTAAAGCTTACGAAGCTAGTGCAAACTAGCATTTGTGAGATATTGGAATGCCTCCTAAGAGTTTAAAAGCTGCCGAATCGATGTTAACTAACTATCGCCTCAGCAGGATAAGTATTTGGTTGAAGAAACTAAAATCTTTATAAGAAACTACTGAAACTTACTGAACGCTTACATAAACTCTCAAGAGCAGCAGAAGCATCTGTCACGGATATCCCCTTAGCAGGACAAAAGTTAAAGTAAAACATTGACAAAATCAAGCGTACTGCTCTCAGGTCATGCGGTCTAAGGGCAACATGTGTTTTATGGAATTTCAAAGTAGACATTGATATTTAATTTATAATAAATTCGGTGTCAGTTCAGCTCTTGCTGGCTCGTCAGCAGCTGATCCCCGAACAGGGAAAAACTTTGATCAATACAAATTTACGACAGTAAAGTAAACTAGTGCTAGTGGGACATTGGTACTTAAGAGATCAGTTTGAAATGAGAAAAACTCTTCAAAAACATCTATTGAATTACGTCCGCTTTCCCTGTACCAAGTCTTTACCTTTTACTTGGCCATACAAGACGCCTGGTTTAGATAAGTCATTCCTTGGGAATAAGAAGAAGAAGCATTCTACAATGAAAATCTACTTTTGAACAGGAAATTCATTCAATTGACTTATGTTCTATTAGAAGAGGAATTATATAAAATGGAAATATAAGTATTTCAAAATATTGTTACCGTCAGTTGAATGGACCAAGGTTTTATGCAATTTGCATATTAATGATTATCATGTCTTATCTACTGGATATCCTGATCTCGCTTTTTTCTCATTGGGCAGATTTCTTTCGGATTAGCGACTAAAGTGATGTCCTGTCATTGGGTAAACTTTTAATTCTGAAATTGTTTGTAATGTTTCGCAATTGGGAATATTTCTTCTCAATCGGCGATACGAACTCAAAATAACAGACAAATAGTGGAAAAAGGAAATGCTAGTCTACACACCCTGAAAAAACCTGGTTACCTTTACCAAGAAAAGGGCACGTCTGGGATTTATCTTTAACCAAAGTCTTTCATGGAAACAGGAGTCAATATCCCAAAATCTTGGCCTAACGAAACCTCCAGGCCCCACACCATCAATCCAAGATGGCATCCATGCAATTAAACTCTGTAAACAGGAAACGCTTAAAAAATGATTAAAAGGTAAACAGGCAAGAAGGATTAGCGACGCAGCTTGATAAGACGCACATTAAAATGAGTCAGTGGATGCATCCAAAATCAACAAAACTTGGGGAAACACATCTACACAAAATGAGCATATTCAACGATACCATTTGTAGGCTAGGCAATGAGGAGGAAGAAATAGCCACTCATGTCATCTTGGAATGCAAAGCAACCGCTCCATGCAGAAACTGGGATACAAAGAAAACCCGAAAGAGCCAATGACCTACTCTTTCGGAGACGGAACGAGTCGATTGCACAGAACTAAGGAACTAGGAAAGTACAATAAAGCAGAAAGACGCAGTGCTTCGGGTACAAGAAACCCCATTTCTTAGTATCACAGGGATAAAAGAGGCAGCCACAAGACCTTCTGCACCTCAACCTGAGTAGATCTATTGTGCTCCTCTATTTTTGGAGGCCAGCTTCAGTTTATTGATCAACCTCCATTGCCTTGCCAACGGCTCCTTTTCTAAGGGAATGCCTAACACATCTCCTGGTATCAGGTTCTGATGATGGTGTCAAACTGAAACGATCAGGCTGGCAAACTAGCAAAATCAGGTGCAGTCTGCAGGAACTGAACAAATGGATGATTTCAGAGATCACAAATCAAGGTTTCTCAGATCTTAGCTAAGAAACTCCAAGTCTACCTCTCTCTCAGCAGCTTTAAGGAAAATAAGGCCTTTTTACTGCCAATTTATATTGTAAAAAGTTGAGATAGAACTATGGCGTCATAAGTTTAACATCCGGAAATCGACTTCCCCACTGCCCACCTGGAAGATAATTAATTTTTCTAAAATAGGTAATCAATGAGGAAATGTTAGCTGTTACACTATTACGAGAGGTGTTTCTCTCTGTACTTTCGCGGGTTTTTAATAAAACCCAGTCCGCTCCTGGATGTCGAAAAACGCCCCGAAGACATGATGCACATGTGCACGCACGTGTGAAAACCGGGTGTCGATATTTCCAGGTTAATAACGACGAAAGTCGAGGAAAAGTCCGTTTTTGCCTTGTGAATGAAGTATCTAAACATTGCGTAAGACGTTTGTGTTTCAGAGAAAGTTGCCTTATTCTAAAGGTTACGCCTAATTCGAGTGTGTTTACGGGACCGCCTTAGGACAGCACTTCCTATTCGGATATCCTTGTTTATTTCCCAATTTGCTACAATTTGCCAACCATTTCCACACGAAGTTGAGAGTCGAGATTTAGACACATTCTAAGCCCATTAAAAATAACTGTACAAGGGTTTCAAAAGAGAATTCTCTTTGTGACAAACATAAGTCCTAAGTTATATTTACCTTACTTTAGGAACTGATTTTCAAAATTTCTATTGCAAAAGTCCTAGTGAATTTGTTTTCAGCCTTAATAGAAATTATCAACGCTCCTGATCGGACGACCACGTAGGTCTTCGGACTATTTAAAAAAACCATCACAGGACGGGGAAGTCATGGCGATAGTATTTCGTAAATGGGTGCCGGTGTGAATCTTTAATGACAGTTGTACAATATTACGTTGAGTATGAGCTGAATTGTTTTATTTGCATATGTAATCCATTGTTCTTTCTGTAATTGTTTCTGTGGTCAATCCCCACTGATAGTTTTTCTCGTTTCTCGTCTTATTCAGACACATTGCAAGAGTGGGAATTAAGGTGAAGGTGCGAGGCTGACACACGGACACTTATTGTGGGCCAAAACCCTAGTATGTGTGTATAATGTGTATTGTTCGATGTGTCCCACTCAATTCCAAGGAAGGATGCCATTTGATTGCATTTAAAAATTTTGTAAAGATTGGAACATATCCTATATGTTAATGTCCTATATGGTTCCTACAGGGCCATCCTATATGGTTATATATTTATTTTGAAAGCTGATTGACAACAGCTTGTAAGAGCCAGTGGAACATGGGCGACTGTCTTTTCCGGCTCCCTGCTTGCCCATAATTTTTGGTCTGCCGAGATTTAAGTAAGTTTGTAATAAGAGATAAAATTGTGGTATCGTCTCCGTAGGTTGTAAGGGATGGGTTGAGACGTATCGACAGGGCAGTGCAAATAGTATAGAGGACGGGATCAAGAATGCTCCTTATGGGACGCCTCCTTCGACCTGGACTCAAATGCCAAAGCGGGGTGTTTTTGAGCCAGCATAGCGTCTCTCGAGTTGTATCGAGCAGAGTTGAAAATCATCTTGATCATTACGTCCGACTGAATTTCAAACATAAACTTTTTTTAAATTAAAACTCCTTTTCTCTAGCTTTTTTTAGGATAGTTTACATGAGCTTAATGCCAATCCAGCTCAATAGAGTAAAGTTAAGTAGTTTTTAATTTAAAATTAACCTTTGTAACTTTCACATTAACCCTTTTTACTTCCAAAATAAACCTTTTTACTTCCATATTAGTCATTATAACTTCAAATTGACTGTTTTTTATTTCAAATTAATCCTTTTAACATAGAAAACTACTTACAATATTGACGCGCCAATATATGCATACCTGAAAAAAAGACAAAATATTAGATTTTATTTAATACGGTTTCCAGGTAATAATCTTAAAAATTATTCATTGTTGAGTTTAAAATGACAGATGGACCTGTGGTTCGCGTATATGTCCCATATGTACGAAAAGATTGCCATTTAATTGATGAGTGTTGGACTTCACATACAGGCGTGTAGGATTGCAACCCGAAATGAGAACTGTTCTGATTCTGTGCACGGCAGCGCGTATTTAGGTCCCCTGTGCTATTCTCAGAGGAAACAGAGTTGTTTGATGTATACAATGCTGATATTTTTGTCTACCCTGGTGTGTTGAAAGTGAATGTATTTATTAGCGAAAATGGGTAGTTGGGAGGAATGATGACGGGATATTGAATACTTCATCAACCCTCATTTAGTTAGTTATACAAAAGTGTAGAGGGTGATAGAGAAATGTCGAGTACTCCACCCCCTGTGTGAATGTTATGTAAATAAGAAAGAATGTATTTAAGGGTGAGTGACAGTGTAGATGGGTTTGCAATTAGAAAATGATTGCTTTGGAGGCTGAAATGACCTTGCTGTTGATATCCCCTGGATTCCAACTTCTGCGGCCGTACGGATAAGACCAACGTCTGCCCGAGGTGGATGATTCTCGGCCTACTATGTGCATTATACATAATATCAATCGGATTTTCCACACGGTATAACCCATAATTTCTTTAATATCGCAACGAGACCAAATTTGGTTAATGACATGATAAACAGTTTTTTTACTTTCCATATGGACTCGTAACGATTTGTTCCTTTAGCATTTAAACTTTCGTCTATTTGGAGTTCTATATTACTCAAAAATGGTTTTCTTAGGTACCACGGCCTCTTCCTAGCTATTGCAGAGGTTGTGGGCAGTTTTCTTCATATATTTTTAAAAGGATGGCTAGGGCTTCTCAGGAGTATCTTCTAGATATATTCAACATTAATCCCATATTTTGAAGGTGATAATTAATTGCAACATGTCCGTTCTGTTAAGCGGAATTTACAATTTTTCTTCTCAACCATCTTGGTTGGAAATGACACAGATTAATAAACAGATTTGCACTTGCTCCCATTGAGTTGTTTTTGCGAGTAGACTTTTGGCTTGCCTCATGTCTGGACTTTTTTCTCAGCATTTCTTGTTTTCGTTAGTTATGCAAGATTCCAGTTTTCTGTTAATATAGCTATCGTTTATAGCACAATATGGATTTGAACATATAGGTTGTTTCAAGGCTTCTTTTTTAGGAAGTATATCAGCCGACTCGTTACCAATGATTTCCCCATGATCAGGGACCTGGGATAAATGCATAAATAAGAAAGACATGTATATATAAATAGATATAAAAATATGTATAATCACCCAAATTACTGCACAGATGGAAAGATGCACCAACCCTCCACGATGAGCAATATGAAGCTAAGTCGTCAGCGTATATCGCCATTTCGCATTCGTGTTTTGGGAGTACGTTATAATAACGGTAAAAAGAGTTTGCCCTAAGACTGAGCCTTGTAGACAATGCCATTATGTCAAACTGTGTCGAAGGCTTCTCCACGTCAAGTAGAATAAGCCCGTATGCTCTTTGCTGTTAAAATTTAGCGTGATATGGTTGACAACTCTAGCAAATTGTACTCAGCCCGGGACGAAACCCACGCTGACATTCAATGATGTCTTTTGTCTGTAAGTGTTGAGTTATGTGACTCAGCAGGATTTTTTCAAAGATTTTACTGATTGCGCTGAGGAGGCTTATTACATGTCTATAATTCGCAGGATCACGTGGTGGTTTCCCAGAGTTTTTAAAGAATAACTTTAATTCTTTACAGCCGAGGAAAAGTACGAAAATCATCCACTCTTCTGTGTTGGATCTGGGGGTCAAGTTTTTATTAGTATCTCTTTTATTAGTATGAGAGGGTTGGTACCTTTTCTTTTTTTGGCTGGCATCTTGTTTTGAATGTACGTGAACAATTTATAAGGAAATTTGTGGGGTAAACTCTTCCTCAGGGCAATCGTTACAGCAAATCAGGAAAATTTGATAAAATCGAAAGAGAAATTAAACCCGTGGGAAAAGAAAACTACGCGGAACCGCATGACGAAAAGTGTGCTATTTTCGACCGTGAATTCACCGGAGAAGCGCCCCGAGGCAGCGTTCCTTCCTTCCAAGGGGCGATGGCGATATCTTCGCATTTCTCCCCGATTGTATAAGTTGGGCAACCAACCTGTTTGTTGGCACGGCATCCTCCAAATACCACAAAGACATATTTTTCCGGCTGTTTCATGACCGGTAGCTAAAGACACTGACGTAACATTTTTAACATTTGTTTCGAGCCAATTTTACACGTTTTTCATTTCTGGCGACCGTGAGAACATTTTCAAATATCTAGTCGCAGGGAAATTTTGGAGTCCGCGAGGCTACTGTCGCTGCAGCCGTCGGTGAGGACTGTATTGTACGGAATAAACCAAAAACGAGAATGCATATGAGCCTTGGACATTATGACTCTGTCTGTCTTCTTCTTCAAAAATTTAATCTCAGAAAAGTCTAAACGTTTTAGACACTTTCACACTAAGCAAATATCTCACGGCTTGTTTGCTTACTTGAATAAGTTAGAACAAAGCATAGCATCCTTTGTCATCTCAAACTCCTACAGAATATAGATTTTTTTTCACGGGTTTTTAGAAAATTGAGTTCGGCATTCCGACAATTTTGTAACTTTCCTTTAGGCCAGTAAATGGTCTATAATTGAAAAGAACAAAACTATCTATGATAAAAAGTAGAATCTTTTTATTGTAGAGGAAAAATCAACTCGTAAAACATATTCACGGGGAATGATAGACGACTTGCGGTCATTAAAACTTCACGCAAGCATTTAACCGGTGAAATCGGGTTAGCCCACATTCTCACTAAATTTAAAACATCCGGCCTATTTTCCAATTGGCACTATTTATACACGCTGTTACTATTACACAACACTTCGTATGTCGAAACTGACTTCAGCAGTTACAGGTACGTATTTGGTTTTACTTGAAAAGAGATAAAAGCAGCTAAGTAACTTCGGCTTGTCAATGGTTGCAAAATCCCGGACTTGTTTTCTTTGATGAAACAATAAATTTGAATGAAAGAATAAATTTTTCTTTATAAACATGGTTATGGACGTTATGTAGCCCATGCGGTGTCCCGCTAACTATGTTGAGAGCTTTTTAAAAAATTAAGAATCCTGGCACTGCCATGTTTCTCTCCTTAGTATTTTTTGCTGAAAAGCATAAACATATCGACGGTACCGACAATCAACCTTGTTAGTGAGGTGAAAAGACTAAAAGAAAAGAATGCGCTGGGTACACCTACACTCCAATGTAATTGCCATTGTTCTTGCTCCTTTATGCGGGTCCTCCTTGTTGTCTGGCTTGTCCGACTAACACAAAGAATCTCTAGGCCTTCTTCCGCCTCGATATTCACCAGACTGACAATCCTCGATGCAATATCCGGGCTTCCGTAAGAGTATATCAATAAACTCCAGTTTCAAAATCCTAAACTACCTTCACTGCCCTAATGATGCCACGTGCGGAATTTCTCTTCAGTTTCGTAATAATAGTTAATAATTCGTATCGTCGAGTTGCGTAATTTTTGTTTCTTGTACTCCTAAAACTTGAAATTATTGTTATTTTTAGAAGATTGATTTTTTTGTATGTACGTATCTTCAAGCTTCCACCATCTCAGTTCCATCTTAATAAGATTCAAAATGCCTTGAACTTCAATGTAAATTAATTAATCTTTTTACGTAAGGTTTTGATTGAAATGAAAAAGTTATTTTCACGAGTGGGATTCGAACCCCGCTCGTGACACTTGAAAGAAGTAAGTTGGACAATAGACCACTAAATATAATGGATTTAATGTAAATGCCAGTAATATGCTTACCCTGGAACTCGATTATTTTTTACAATTAGTAAATATCTTTCAGCAACATTTTCAAAAAGGTTATGGAACTTTTTACTGTTTCATAGGAGGTACTGGTACACGCAGGCCACTAAAGTGGTAAAACTATGAATATTTGTGGTGTAAGAACAACTATGACCAACAAAACATGCACGTGGTATTATTATATTCAAAGAAACCCTTGCGAACAATTATGACTTAGGTAAAAAAAAATCCAAACAACCAACTATAGATCGAGATTAGATAGTGCAATTGGTTATTTATTCATGAAATTTTCTCTAAACAAGTCAGAAAACCCGATTTTCAAACTGCGGCACGAACAACCAGGCAGGTAAAATAGGCAAAATAACAAGCTGAATTATAAAAACTCTCAATTTGCTTCTGGGCTCATCGACTATTCTAACAGGCAGTTATCATCAAAGAATTAGGACAAACGAATCATAACCCATAGGTTAATTGAGAAAGATATGAACATACTACTGGATGGGTTCAATGGAATGTTAATTAGTTAAAACTAAGGAAATGCGGCAGTTGCACGGCAGTGAGATTGATTGTTAATTAAGATCTACTTCTAGTACATCGGTGACCTAATTCATCCAGGTATTTGATAACTTGATCCGGTTGTCCTTGCGAAGAATGGTCCTGAGTCTCTTCCTGCTTCCTCCGATGCGTTCTGCAATTTCTTTCAAATCTTGCAAGAAGGTTCTCGAATTATTTGTCCAAATAAATATTTGACAGTGAGAAGAGATACGTGATACAAATCTAGGAAGACATCGTTAGAACTACTAAACTACATCGTCAGAACTACTAAACTTAAAACTTAAACCTAAAACAAATTAATAGCAATCTACTCGGACAACCAGGCGCAGTAAAGCCACTATCTGAGGATAAAAGAGGCGGCCACAAGGCCACCTCGACCTGAACTGATCTATTGTGCTCCCCTATTATTTATAACACACTGGCCAGCTTCATGTTATTACCCAGCCTCCACAGCTATGCCAGCGGCTCCTTAGTGTAGGATCTCGCTTGTTTTTCTTCTTGTCCTAGTTGCAAGAACCTGCACCTA